ATAAAATAAAAACTGGTTTTTTATATTATTTGGCATTAATTTATATTTTTTACGTATAATTGATTGGGCTAGATTAATGTATAATTTTTTGTTATTTAAGATTTTTTTTTTCTTCTTCTTTTTAATTATATATTTTTTACATTATAAAAACTGGGTTATAAATATTATAACTACAGTATTAAGTCACATGATAACAAAAATAAATTAACCTCAATTGTTCTTATGTTTTTCTTATGTTTCATAGTGCCAAATTTATTAATAAAATTATATTTTTAATCTAATGACTTTATATTATATAAAAAAATAAATTTGGTATACTCTAGATTATTATATTATTCATATTGTGTACTAAGCTTCAAAAATACTGCACAATTAGGTCTTAGAAAATGTAAAATTTTCTTTTTTTAATAAACAAGTTTTTTCAAAGCAATAATATAGACAGCTGTCAATAGAAATCAAGCAAATCTATATTTGAAAAAAAATCAATTTCTTAACTTTCACAGCTCATATATCAATGAATTTTAAAGCTATCTTGATAGTTTAATATTCAAAAGAAAGCTTAGATCATAAGCTTTCTTTTGAATATTAACTTATCAGAATAACTTCAAAATTCATCGAGATATTGGTTGTGAAATTTGAGGTATTAATTTTTTTCAAATGTAGATTTGTTTGATTTCTATTAACGGCTACCCATATTTTGCGGTATTAAGTCACAGGATGATAGCTATTGCAACAATTAACCTAAAATTTATTGTTCTTGTTTTACAAAGAGATTGGTGCCAGTTTGTAATGTAAAATAGTTTATTATATAAAAAATAAATCCACTTAATTGCATTTTTACGCACAAAGAACAAAGTGTGTTCGAACGCGTATATACTAAGCCTCACAGTGCTGTGCGATAATGTACAACATTCAGCCTTGAGAAAATTTTTTTTTTAGAAAAACAAATTTTTTATAAATAACAAAGAACAATGCATTTAATATACATACTAAGCCTCAAAAATGCTGCACGATAATGCATATTTGTAAAAAATTAGGTTTTGAAAAATGTAAAAATTTTTTTCATTTTTTTTTTTGATAAACAGGTTTTTTTTATAATTCACAGAGTATTTTGTGGTATTAAGTCACATGATTATAGCCATTGCTACAATTACAGAATTAAATTAAACTGTTTATTATTGTTCTTATATTCTACGAAGAGATTTGTACCAGTTTGTAATATAAAATATTTTAACATTATATTATACTTAATTGCATTATACCACAAAGAACAAAGCACATTCAAATACGTATGTACTAAGCCTCAAAGTGCTGCATGATAATGCACAACACATTTAGTCTTGAGAATTTTTTTTTTGAAAAACAAGTTTATGGATAACAAAGAACAAAGCGTTTAATACACATACTAAGTCTCAAAAATGCTACACGATAATGCATCCAGTCTTGAAAAAATGTAAAAGCTTCTTTTTTTTTCACATATACAAGTTTTCATACAATAATTAAATAAGATTGTTTACAAGAATAAGTCATACAGAAATTGGATTTCAATGAATTTATTTAAAATCGATTGAAGTACCTTTAAAACAGTGCAAAATCGCATTTTCTTAAAATTAAATTGCAAAATGAATGATTTTTTAAATATCTTTTGCCTTACAACCTTTTTATTTGTTTGTTATTTAATTAATGATTTGTCCAAAATTGAATCCGCTCAAGAAGTCTTTAACAAATATCTAACTGAAGTAGGATTTATTTATAAAATATATTATGATGAAGAGTCAGTGAATAAAACAAAAGCCGCAGTAAACAAAATGAGTGTTGCAGTAAATGAGCTGAATAACAACAATAATTTTCAAAATCATCAATCGGATGTAGAAAACAGATTACTGAGTAATTTTTCATCAAAAGAAACAAATGATGATAAATAGAAAATATTAGAATTTAAATTTGCTAACATAACTCGTGAAGAAAAATTTGACAAAAGGGGTTTAATATTATGTTTAGATATTAAAAGGCTTATAGTAAAATTG